AGTACCTAAAATATTTTTAACAGTTTTGGAAATGTGTGCAATAAGTGCAATAATAACTTTAGGCTTGCTAAGCAAAGTACATTAAGCTCTCACCGTTTTGTATTCCCAAAGTACCACTGTTGCATAAGAAATTGTATTTGTTTTTAGTAAAGAGTTTCTGTAACAAACTTTCTCATGTTTGTATCCCAATGATTTGACAAATCCCAGAACTGGGATCCAAAGCTGAGCTCTACTGTCCTGACCGTGACACAGGCATCTTGAAAGCCAGACGTACGAAGGCGGACTCTGGAAACCTGAGTTACTTCTTTTGAAAAAACCCTGCCAAGAGACCTAAAAGACAGCACAGCAGCCCTGGACTTTGTGGAAACTAATCATGATGCATCATAATTAATGCAAAATAAACACATTGCTTTGGGGCAGGAGGCGACCTTCGAACCAGTGACCTCTAAAGGTTTCTTTTTCTCAACACATGTTATCAGTTATATCACTTATATAAGTTATGGATATTTCATAATAATATAAAAACAATTAACTATGTAAAAACCTCTCCATTCTGCATTGCAACAGTGTTGTTGTTGAAAATTTAACTGCTTTCTCCTGAGCTTATTTCAATTCAATACTTTTGGTGAAGCTTTTGCAGAACATTTACTGTTTTCTAAATATAACTTCAAATCATAATGCAAGAACTACTTTACATCATGATTACCACATCATGTACCTGCATGTACAGTTGCAGAACGACAGTTACTATCTTATTTCAACCTTCAGGTAAAGGTTGCACCGTAAACATACTACAGTACCTCCTAAATGTGGCTTTTCAGTGAACAACATACTATTCAACATTCACATAGCGCAAATGTTCAAAAACAAGTTGCATTCTTTTTACATTTTTGTGGTGAAGCTTACCCTGTACAATTGCTATTTGTTAAATGTGGTAAATTCAGTTAGTAATTTTAAAACTCAAGGTTTCCCATGTCCTTTGTGACACAAATTCTTGAAATACTTTCCCGGTAAAGTCAGTGTAATGCTGTTACTGTGTAGTTCTTAAACCTGCAAAGTTACACTAACAGCTGAAAAAAAACTCACTTTTCTAAAATGTCATACTGCTATTGTCCCAGAACGTAATACAATTTTTCTTTTCAGCTTTTGAGCATATACAAATCAGCTTAAAGAGCTGTATTATATTGCAGTTCAAAGGAAATCTCAGTTTAATATTGACAGCCTCTCCCACCCTCTTCACTCCCATTTCCAACTGCTACATTGAGGGAGGCATTTTCAAATGCCTAAGGCCAAGAACAATTATATGAGAAATCTTTTTCCCCCCGTTAAATCGGTATATTAAATGCAGCTAAATAACTCTTTCCTACATGAAACTATCAAATCAGTGTAATGATGGTGCAATTATGGACAGAGCGAGATGTGTGTATATGTTGTGGAATGGCTAGGACTGTTGTTTTTAGCATGTATTGATGAGTTTTGTTTTTTGTAGTTTATGATTTCCAAAACAAATTTTGAGCCTTTGGAATGGACAACAAAGTTATATAAATATAAGATGATGACTCTGCAGTACATTTACTGCATGTTTGCTGAATGTAGAATCTTAGTCTGGCTGGCTGTGAGCAGCATGGTCGTTTTAGTAGAAGTGGAGGTGATAAAGCCAGCAGCCATATCACCCTGCAACTCACAACTGACAACCCACTGAAGCTCAGCAGTGTGAGCCTGGCCAGTACCTGGATGGGAGACTCCTGGGGAAAGCTGAGGCTGCTGCTGGAAGAGGTGTTAGTGGGGCCAGCAGGGGGCGCTCACCCTAATGCCCCAGTATAGTGACGGGGACACTATACTGTAAACAGACGCCGTCCTTTGGATAGATGCAAAACCGAGGTCCTGACTCTCTGTGGTCATTAAAAAACCCAGGGTGTTTCTCAAAAAGAGTAGGGGTGTAACCCCGGCATCCTGGCCAAATGTCCCATTGGCCCTTACCAATCATGGCCTCCTAATAATCCCCATCTCTGAACTGGCTTCATCACTCTGCTCTCCTCCCCACTGATAGCTGATGTGTGCTGATGCTGCACATTGGTGGTGGTGGAAGGGAGTCCCCATTACCTGTAAAGCGCTTTGAGTGGAGTGTCCAGAAAAGCGCTATATAAGTGTAAGCAATTATTATTATTAGCACATTATGCAACAACTTAATTGTTAACTTTTCCACAGCAGCTGATTAAGAACTAGTTATTCTTTTAAACTTCTAACCCTTCTTGTGATGGAGCTTTTGGAAAATTCAACTAATGACAAAAAAATCACTGGTCTATATTGCCACAGGAATAACCAGAAATTTCTGTATCAGTTTCTGTCTAGTACGGTACACCTTTCAAATTTAACCTAAAAAGTAAAATCTGTCTTGCATTATCACAGTGCAATTGAATCAGAATGAATTAAATTGTACTCGGGTTCTCACCATTCACCCTCCTGGTGAAGATTTTACAGTGCACTACTGTGCTAGACCTGGAAACATCCATCACCATTTAAGAACATGTGGTTCTGCATTATTTGTGCTTACTTTGGAGACGTAGCTGTTTTCATTTCAGCTTCTTAGCAATCTTATGATGAAGACTGTGCAGTACACAGTAACTGTATTTTAGCAAATGATGAAACTGAATATTCTACATTTCCAGAGTGGTTCCTCAAAGAACTAAAAATGTTTCAGTTTCCTAGCATTCCCAAGATGAAGACTGGGCTTCGACTGAAAAGTATATATACTTTTCCACATTTATACAGTGAAACTGACTGCTCAAGAACAAGTTATTTTCAGCAGTACTCTCTTGTCTACTTGTTAAATGTGGGTAATTTAACTTATGATCTAAACTCTCAGTGCAATTGTGCAGAAGTAGATGCTAATGTTTTCAGTATCATAGAATTCTTACTGTGTACTTTACTGTTTGCTAAATGTAAGAACTTCAAACCAAATTGTAAGCTATACAACACACAAAACACTGAAACACAAATTCTCAACAAAACTAAAACGGCCACTGAAACACGGAACCTTATTAAAACACTCACTGAAACTGACCAAAACAAACCAAACCTCACTAAATTATTCAAACTGATACCACAGAGAACCTCACAAAAACTTGCACTGAAATACACAATTTCATCAGAAAACCCACAAATAAAGAAATAAACAAGAGCAAACCTCACCAAATATACCTAATCACAAAAGCTCACCAAAATCCAGACTGAAACACACAAAACCTCATCAAAACACTGAAACTGATACACACAGATCCTCACCAAACATCATATTTGTACGGAAACACACAGAACCTCACCAAAACACTCACACTGTAATTTAATACACAAAACCTCATCCAAATACAACGAAACACAAGGCCTCATCATATTACTCACAATGAGCCACAGATCCTCATCATAATACTCACAATGAGACGCATGGACCCTCAAAATACACAGGATAAGATACTTAAGACACCCACTTTGCAATACTTCCGTTTGCTTTCACTTTTCCAAATGTATTTATTTATATATTTATCTTAGTTTGGTTGGTATTCTTTGTCGTTGTTGCATTTTTTTTGTAATTCAACAAAAACAAAGCAGAGAAAAAAAACATAACATCCGAAGAGAGGTGGTGACGACGGAGGAGCGCAGCCTCTGCTGTATCCGAAAGAAACGAACGCAAAAACGGATGAAGGAGGAAAAGGAAAAAGAATGGAAATGGACAGGACAGCCAACGCCAGAAATACTCTTATACATTCAACACAGGCCAGGAGTCTGCAGACTTGTCACCCTGCAGGAGGAGAGAGGAGAGAAGGCCACATTCATGCATCACTGTCCACCACTGCTTAGCTCCAATTTCAAGTTTCCCATATGAGAATCTGTGTCAGGCCCCACACTGATGCACACTGCCGGGGCTGCCACAAACCACTGAATTTCTACCTCCATGATTTTGTGCTTATTGTAGTGTCACATATTAACTACGTCAAGGATGAAACTCAGAGCGAACACTAAAAAGTTACACGAATCATTCAGGGTAGCTCAAAGCCCTGCGTGATTGTTTTACTTTTTATTCTTGCAGCCCCCATGCCAGGAATTTTCATAAAAAATAAAAAAATATTGTCCAATTCCTTACAGTGGAAAATGCTACATGAAAATGGCCCAAGGAAAGGGACAAAGCTTTCTGTCCTGTTCCTCATTCCCACACTCCCTCTTTCACATGATATGCTGGCATTTTAAAGATGCTGGATTCCCCATGACTTGTGCCACTCAGATCTCCCCTACACCCCCTCACCCGCCATGTGCAATACAGTCCCCCAACAGAGGCAACAATTACAACAACAGTTACAATTACACCCTCCTCTTCAAGTCTCTTAAAAAAACAATCATAGTATCCATAACAAGAACAATAAGAATCAGAATTATTTTATAGAGAACTCTCTTTCTCTCGTTTTTTGGCTAACTGCATCACTGATAAAAAAACAAAATACAACATCCAAAGAAAGCCGAAAAATGATACAGACAAAAGTGTCCGTTGTTTCGCTGGAGTCTTTGCTGTACACAGTCAGTTACTTCTAAGAATGGTGTCTGTAGTACCCCCACCACCCCCCTGGAGGAGGAAGACAATGCTAATACACTGGCACTGGCCCGATAGAAAGAAGGAGGGATAGGGAGAGAAGGGGGGACCTAGAGAGACTGAATTTGAGAGAGAGACTGGGAGAGAAAGAGAGGGAAGTGGAGAGAAACTGAGGAAGAGAGGAAAACTACAGGAAAGGGAGGGACTGGGGGTGAGGGAGAGTAAACAAAGGGGGAAACAGCAAGAAAGGAAGTCTCCCCTCAACAGGGAGAGCCACTGTAGGAACGAAAGGTACAGGATTATGAAGTCATTAGAACAAATTATTTTTCTTTGCCACACAGCACTGTCTTTCTTTTAATAATAATAATTATTATAATAATAAACTTTTACGGAAAACAGTAATAATAACAATAACAATAATAATCATAATTCCTACATGAACATGAGCAGTAAAAATGTTTTAAAAAAAACAAAACAAAAAAACAAAGAAAATGGATGCGAGCTGGGTGTCCTGTTTGATCGCGGTGTCACTGTTCTGCTGTCCGAGTCAAGGTGACAGTACAAACCCCGGAGAACCACCTCCCTGCCCCCCAGCCCCGTGGAATAGGCCGCTCCACTGCCTAAGGCTCTACATGCTCTGAGCACAGCCTGCTCCCTGGAATGGTCCATTTGGAAATGAAGGGGGTGGCGCCACCACACAAACACACACAAACAGTTAATTACAGTACTGTGTATGTTTTCTCTGTGTCGGTGTTATGTGTGGTTGGGGGTCTTAGTGTCGTACTGGATGTTTCTCTGCCACTGTTACTAAGTGCTCTGTCAGGGAGCGTCTCTCGCGATGTGGCTTAGTACAGCGGGCTGTGTGTGAGTTATGTCAGCAGGCGGCGTGCCTGTGCGAGGTGGCGCAAGGTGTGTGTGTTACTGTGGCGATGGTGGGGGGGGGGTCCAGGTTGGAGTCATTCAACAGCTTGCTCACATTGGGCAGGGAGGGAAGGCAGGGGGGGGTGGGAACGGAATCCAAATCTATCCAATCAGATGCAGGAGCTTATGGTGAGAGCCAATGGCGAGGGGAGCTGGGCCGGTGTGCGGAATGCTGGGGGAACTCCCTCCCCCCTTCTTTCGGGCTCCACGCCTGCAGGACTGACACAGCGCCTCCTTCTGGAGACAGACGATGGCGATTTGGCGAGATGCTGCTCAACACAGGCGGCTGAAATGGACCTTTACATATTGGGGCATCCCCTAACAGAAAGAGACGAGAAAAGAAAGGGTCCTGTCAGACACACTTGACATGTATATTGAAATGATACATCCTCCACAGTGTGCAAGCTGTAAAGACAGTTGTACCCTGCGTTAGAAATCCAAGCAATTATGATTTGAATAAACATTGCTAGTTAAACCACATTTACATATCTAGATCTGTTGAAAACATTTTTCCTAGCATGCTTAGGTTAAGGCATTATAGTGAATTGGCTATTTTAAGAAATAAGGTGTTAATTTATATTAGCAAATTCATATAAATCAGTAATACCAAACAACACTTACAATGTTCCAGTGAGGTAAAGCTGAAGCAACAAAAATCACAGTCAATAAAATCACAGCACAAACCAAACAACACTACCTTACCCACTTGGACACACACAAACACAACACTAACTGTACAGCGGCAATGCTTATTAATAAACCACACCATTAGGTGTTGCTTTGGATTATCAGAGAGGCCCCTTTCTGTGGTCTGATCATTGTGTGCTAGAATGCAAGGTAAGATGAGCTTGAAATAAGATCAATTTATTGGCCATGTAAAGTTTCTTGTTTTAGGAATTTGTTTTTTCGCATACCCCAACTTGCTCTCCATGAGAGAGACAGTCAGGGAGAGAAGCTTGGGGTCAGAGTACAGGGTCAGTCATTTATACGGCGCCCCTGGAGCAGTTGGGGTTAAGGACCTTGCTCAGGGGCCCAATGGAGTAGGATTCCTCTGCCGGCCCCGGGATACGAACCAGCAACCTTCTAGCCAGAGGCGTGGATCCTGAGCCACAGAGCCACTACACCTCCCCAGTAAGGAGCATTTTTTAAGGACAGTGACCAATGCAGTATAGTGCTTCCACTCCTGACTCCTGGAGGTCTGGCTGAGAGCCATAGACATATTTGGACAATGGTCTTAAATTACCCAAAAGATGACCAACCAATCAGACACCTGTAGAGAGTGGAAACTCACACCACCTGGTGACCTCTCAGCCAATTACCAACCATATTTTCCCCCAGTCAAAAGTACTACATATCTCTCCAATCGGCTTGGGCCAGCAGAACATGGATTGGACATCACTTAGATGGACCCCATCAGCTGTTTCCTGTTATATCTGTTATATGTTATATATAAGAACCCTTAAGAAAACTTGAACTTGAACTTTATTTTAAAACTATCGTTTATGTCTAGGCAGATTGTGTCATTAACTGTATTTGCTTTGACTGTTTTTATGTACACAATGTGGTATTAATAATAGTAATGAGTGCATTCTCATTCCATCATGCAGACTGTTATTCTGTGGATTGACTCCTAATACAATTTATAAACTAGTAATTTAAAAACTGTGGCAGTACATTCACACAAATCCTACAACTGGATTTTTACAGTACCCTAAAAAGAAAATACAGTTTAGCTGAGTTATTGCAGGATGTAAGACTAGAGATGTAGGTAGGAAAAAGATAATCTGGGGAAAATTGAGAAATACACTGTGTAGCGGCAGGGCTTATTAATAATACAGGAATTAAGTTTGCTGCTCCCTTCCCAGTCTGTCTTCTTCATCTCAGTGGTGCTGGACAGAGAGGCCATCCCATATGGTTCAGATTTAAGGTTTTTTCTGTCTGATAAGAGTTTTCTGATAAGGAACTCCCAGGGCTGAGACTCTCCAGCCACCCTAATGGTAATTTCTGGTGTCTTTCTGCCTGGGAGATTCCAAGGGAAAGTCTCATCCCAAGTTGTTTACAACCCTAATGTCAGAGAGCATTGTTACTCATCCTCCACCTTGATCAGCCAGTCAGGAACTGGTAGGGCAGGGTAACCCCACATGGTTCTTAAATGGCCGTGAAACTTTCAACCAATAAACGACCATTGTTCCTCCAGATAAAGGAGGCAGCACACGGCCCAGAAGGCGCCCCTCCAGGACATTCTCAGACTCATTGCGAACAATCACGTGACCAGCCAGTGTGTCCTAGTGCCAGGACTTTACTTTGTTCCAAGAGTTGCTCGGCCCCGCAGTCACTTCAAGGGAAATGTGTTTCCATTTGTGCCACGGTCCACTCATCCTTGACGCACACCTACCCTTAAAAGACTGCAAACACGGGGCTGGTACTGGAAAGGTTGTATTACTAACCCCTACTCAAAACAAACACAAAACCAACTTCTGTAAGAATTGTCCGTTGCAAAAAAAGAAATGCCTCCTTGACACACTGACACTGCAAACACATCACCCAACATTCGCACTTGGACTCTGACCTGAGTTAGACTCCAGCCTGCTCCATGCTGTACTGCAGGTCAGGGGGTTTGTAGCTGAGGAGCATGTCGCTCGTACAGGAGGAGGGGTAACAGGGGGTGCTATGAAGCTGGGTGCCCTCACTCAGATCTCCACCCTCCACTTCGCACTCTGAGAGAAAGAAGGAGGAGAACATCAGTGAGAAAGAACATGAGACCAGAGAAAGAGACCAGGCCTTGCGAAAGACAGGAAAACAGAGATGCAGAGACCAGACCTGTCAAGAGAGAGGAAGGTAGAGGCAGAGACAGAGACCACACCTGTCGAGAGAGAAGACAGAGAAAGAGACTACTCATACCTGGTCTGAGTGTGTATGGGCAGTGTAGTACACCACAGTGTGTGAAAGAGCTCTGATGAGTACTGAAGTGTAGTATGGGGTGTAATACAGTTTACAGAAGTGAATCTAGGACAGTGTGTGTACTGGATCGAAATCTACACTGTACTTCAAGGGATTTTATCCTTTTCCAACGAGTAAGTACCCCAGAAACAAACCTAACGTGGAGCCTGAAATGCACGTTCAATTGTCTAATTTAGTATTGTTTTTACATTTTGTGTGACTACTAAATGTGTTTTGTTAACTGTATTATTCTTTTAGATGTGCATACCATGCACTTATTATTATGACATCATAATTAGTGCTAGACACATAGCATATCTAGTTAGTATTACAACACAGAAAAGATAAATTTGATGGCATTCTGCTAAGAACACCTCAATCTGGAAAAGCTGGAGAAGCGCAGCTAAAGTACATTACAGTGCGTGCAGTAGAATACAATGTATTCACAGTGTGTTGTAGTGTATTACAGTGTGTTTTGCACTGCTACCTGTCTCCTCCCGGTTGCGCAGCTGCTGGCTTCCTGTGAGAGATGATTGGCTGAGGATGACGTCAGACATCCGAGCAGAGCTTAGTGCTTTCCCAGCCAGTAGGCTCATACCAGACATAGGATCTGCCTGGTCCTGCATTAGAGAGAGAAAGGCAGAAGGAAGAGTGAGTGATTTAAGAATACTGAAATAATCATAATGAGAGTAAGAGGACGGAAGATCACAGCTTGGTTACAGAAACTGGACAACACAGACCTAGCTGTCCAGAGAGGACAGGTTCAGTGATAACAGCCTGGCCACAGAAACCAGATGACACAGACAGACATGGCTGTCACCTGACAGGCTCACTGATAACAGCCTTGCCATAGAAACTGGGTGACACAGGCAGACATGTGTGCCCAGAGAGGACAGGACCAGTGACTACAACTTTGCCGTGGAAACTGGACAACACAAGTAGACCTCTATGCACAGAGAACAGATTCACTGACCACAGCTTGGCCATAAAAACTGGGCAACACAGGTAGACCTGGCTGGTCAGAGAGGAGAGGCTCAATGGCCACTGCTTGACCAAATAAAGTGGGCGACATAGCTAGACCTGACTGACTGCCCACTTTCCTAAATCCGCATCTGAGATATCCATCTGGCTCTTGAACAATTTTCTAAACAATTGCCATAACTGCAACATTCCAGGTCAACGTGCAGACCCGTTCTGTCCAGTCTAACTCATTTAGACAGAGAGAAACCAGCTGGTGGCACCAGTTTCTTCGATTTCTCCATGTGGAGTGTTGGCATGCTGTTCCCAATGGTCTCACCTGATCATATCACTCCCAGCTCCTCTGAGTCTTTCAAATCTAACTCTAATCATGACAAAAAAAGACAAAGCAAAATATTTTGACCCTTTCTCTTCAAAGTACATAAATTTGGGGGGGGGTCCACAAATTATTTTTTAAACCTCAAATGGGGTTAGGGTCAGGATCAACAGAGAGACAGAAGAACTCACATAGGCGTCGTCGCAGGTCTGGATGGTGTGGTGCCGCTGCAGAGATCCACGTGGCCGATAGCCCTCATTCTGAGTCCCACGGGAAGGGTAGGTAACACCATTGTGGTCAGGCACCTCCATGGCCTGCCCTGGGGTCCTGCGGTCAACATGCTCTCCAGCAGAAGAATCTGTCCGAAGAAAGAAACACTGAGCACACATCTGTACCTCACCTGGACAATACTCATATAGACCCAGTTACTGTAGAGTCCAGTACGTGTACAGTATACTATGTGTGCAGTTGCTTTAGTGTCCTTTGTGTAAAACGTACTGTGCGTACAGTTACTGTAGTATCCAGCATGTACAGTGGATGATATGTACACTTTCTGTACATATGTACATATACAGCACATGTACATATAAGTGTACAATGTACTGTTTGCAGTTACTGAAGTGTCCAGTGGGTACAGTGTGCTGTGTGTACTCATACTATAATATTCAGGGTGTACAGTTACTGTTGTGTGCAGTGTGTACTGTGGACTATTTGTACACTTATTGTAGTATTCAGTGTGTACAGTGTTCTAAATGTGCACTTACTGTAGTGTCCAGTGTGTGCAGTGGACTGCGTACAGTTTACTATTTGTGCAGTTACTATAGTATCCAGGGTGAACAGCAGACTGGGTAGTTACTGGAGTGTCCAGTGTGTACACTTTACTGGGTGTAAACTTACTGTAGTATCCAGTGTACTGTGAGAAGTTACTGTAGTATGCATAGTGTACTGTGTGTGCTTACACTGTAATATTCAGTGTTTAGTTTACCGTGTGTACAGTTACTGTAGTGTCAGAGTGTACAGTTTACTGGGTGTAAACTTATTGTAGTAACCAGTGTACTGTGTACAGTTACTGGAGTGTCCAGTGTGTACAGTTAAAGATGTCCTGTGTGAATAGTGCAGTGTGTGTACAGTTACTGTAGTATTCAGTGTGTACAGCGTGCAGCACATACATTAGACTATGTGTGCCATGTGCACCTCACCTCTGGCTGTGGAGCTTGTGCGCAGGTAGCCATGTCTGTGTGCAGGTGTGCTGTAGGGAGCTGTGGAGGGCATGGGGGTCCCCAGCAGGCCATCGGGGTCCCCACAAACGCCAGCCTTGACGAGGAGCCCATCGGGGTAGGCTGCAGGCGGCGGCTCGTCCTCCTCCATGCTTTCGGAATGTGGCAATGTGGGGGGGCTGCGATCCGGGGGCCGGATCTGGAGCAGGTGGGAGTAATGGGGCTGGGGCCCGGGACCAGGGGGGCCTGGGGGCTCCATGGAGTCTCCCTGGCCAAGGTGGCGCAGCAGCAGCATGTCGCTGTAGTCTTGAGGGGCAGAGGGGGGTGCAGGAGGGGGTGCCGGTCGAGGGCTCTGTCTCTTTAGCAATGCCGCCAGGTCCTGGGGGGGCAGCCGGGGGTCAGCGTGGCCACTGAGCGAGTGTCGGGGAGACAGCAGGCCCTGCAAGGTTGGCGTTACGTGCTGTGAAGGACGGTATTCTGGGGGGGTGGGCGACAGTAGGGCCTGCTGCAGAGCCGAGGGGCTCCCATACCCCCCCCCAGCTGCCGAGCCCCCTGCTGCTGCGACTGCCTGGTAGGCCTCCAGCCCTGGCACTTTCAGAGACGCGCCCTGCAAGTAGGGCCCATATCCTCCTGCCGCCGCAGCCACCCCCCGGCCACCCCCCTCCCCAAACAGGTGGGGGTGCCACTGAGCTGGGTCATAGCCTGTGGAGCACGAGAACCGGCCCAGACTGCGACTGCGGGACATGGACGGGAAGGAACAGGGGTGGGCAGTGGGGAGTGGATGGGAGTGGGGAGTGGATGGAGTCATGAGTGAACGGGAGAAAAATGAGAGAGGAAGGGAAAAGAGGAGGAAAACACAAAGAAAGAATACAGTTACTCTCCGTCATGCCTTATTTTAAAGGTTAAACATTTAGACATTTAGGGCTTCCTGAGCGGCCCACCGAATAGAGCTTCTAACAGGACAAGCCCTATGAGTCCACACAGTGCCAGTTTGAGTCCGGGTGATATCACCAGCAAACACGGAGGTCTCCCCCCACTGGACCTGGCCAAGAGCTGCATGGGTTGGGGGAGTTGTGACAGAACAGTGTCTTCATCTAGAAACTGAACCTTAAACACACTGACTGTGGGTGTAAATGAGCTAGAAGAGCAAGTGTCTTCATTTGCCAGATGCTCATACGAGAGCTTGCGATTGCCAGCTCATGATGACAAGGAAATCAAGTTTATATGTAATAAAAAAACTCAAAGTTTAATACAATATTAAAGTAACACAAGTTTTACTACTGAAAATGCATCAAATCGAAAGCTTGTGTGTCTTACCCTTTAGGTGTGCTTTCTCAGAATGCAGGTTAAGCCTTACAGCCCAGACATAGCAGGTTTTATCCCAGCTAACTGACTGTGACCTCTATTACACCGATATATAATTATAAATTCAGGTGGGTAGCTGCGTCAGCATGCGTAGCAGCTGCAAAGGAACAAGTAATAGGTTTATTCCATGCTGAACTGAAGAAGGCTGCACGGCCGAAACGTTGTGTTTTCTTTCTTCTTTTTTTCAGCATGGAATAAACCTATGACTTGTATAATTATAAATGGCAACATACAACTCCAAGTGA